TAGCCTCTTGGGACAGCCCCTAGGCGTTAAATCCACAGACTTCTGGATGGGGGGGAGGGATGAGGAGGGATGCAGAAGGGAAGGCATGGGGCAGCCAGCCCTGGATGGTGTCCAGCCAGGCCGCAGCCCAGGTACCAGCCTGCTCCATCCCAGGCTTGCCCAGCCCTGGGGAGACGTGAGCCAGACTCTGCCCCCTCCCGCCCCTGTGGGTCTCCATGGCTGGCACAGGGAGAAGAGGTTACTAGCCAGAGGGAGAACCTGGTTCAGGACCCCTGAGTCCCGGGGGTGTCTGTCAGACCAGCAGCCCTCACTTTAGTTTATGTCTCCTGCCTGGCTCCCACCCTACCAGACTCCAGAGAAAGCTCTTCCCACTGAGAAATAGGAAGGCGGAGATCAAGGGCTAGGAATGGTGAGTGACCTTTTTTGTAAATGGAGTCGTGCACATTCCCTGCTGCCTGCACAGACCTGGAGGGCTGTGGGGGTGGAAGGGGGTCCCATAGGGTAAAATGAGATGACATCAGGGCCACTGGGCAGGGGGCCAGTGGCAGCCAAGCCCATGGTACCTCACCTAGGGTAAGGAGAAGACACCTTCTGCCTAGAGGTGTGGACACTGGCTGAGTGCTCGGAGCCCCTCAGCACTTCCCACTGTCCCAGGCTGCCCATCATGCAGCACCCTAGGCAAGGCCAGCTGTCTCCATCCTGGCTTCCTTGAAGAGCCAGCACCAGGCCCAGCCCTGTCTCCAGAATCTGTGGAACAAACTGAGCAGCGTCCCACAGCAGCCATGGCCCTTACCCCCAACATAGTCCTGCCACACACACCCCAGCCCCCAAGAATAGCCAGGACTCCTTCCTACTCCCACCATCCTGCCCCCTTCCATCCTCTTGTTGGGGCCGATATTCCTGTATTGGGCAGCAGGGCACTGGTCTTATTTGCATAAACAGGAGTACTGGGCTGGGGGAGGGGCAGTCTTGAGAGGTGGGATTACCTCTGTTGTTCCCCTGGACACCCTGGAGGTCTTCCTATTTCTCCAGCCCCTTTCATCCGGGGGCCCTAGCTGGCTGGCTTGAAGGAAGCAGGCTGGCTGTTTCTGTAGGACCCATCACCATGGCATCAGCCAGGGAGGGGCTGGGCCCTATGGGGTGTTGGCCCCCAGGCGCCTGAAGCTCTCCCAGAAGGGAGGAAGGAGGAGCAGGGAGCGGGCCTGGGCCTGCTCCCCAGAGACGGTCACTGGGATTAGGGTATCATCTTTCCCCAGCTTTCCAGGTGGCTGCTGGTGGCGCCTATTGAATTCCGTGCCCGCCATCCGCTCCCTGGACTGCGTGGGTGGAGGTGATGGGGCGGCCACTTGGGGTGGGGCAAGTGTCCCTGGTGGAGGACAGCTGAAGGGAGGCAGCCTGAGGGTGGAGGAGGCCCCAAGAGAAGCATGTGGGGGCAGCTTTCCCGGCCGGGTCTTTTCTGGAAAGCCAGTCAGCATTGTATGAAAGTGAGAGTCCCCAGCCTGTCTAGCCCTGGGTCACCCCAGCCCAGCTGTGCTGCCCACAAGTTGCTATGGCCTCATATTCCCTCCTGTCGATTCTGGCTCTCTGCCAGTCTCCTCTCTGAGCAGATCCTGATTTTGTCTTGAGCTTGGATCTCCTGGGCTGTCGTCACTGGAGGTCCCACTTGCCCTCTGGAACTCACTGGAGTTGTGTTCCTTTTGAGTCTCCTCCTCCCAGCATGCTCTGGGCCCCCCTGTAGCTGGCTCCTCCTGAGCTCCTGGGGGCCACACACCAAGCTCAGCGTGCCTGAACATCACTTCCATTTGCCCCCTTTCCCCAGAGGCAGAACCCAACCCTGCCTCAGCTTCGGCGTGAGGGTCCAGGAGCGATGGTGGCTGAGCTGACCCAGGTGCCCCACCCCTCCCCATCGTCTCCTCTCAGTGCTGGGCCTGGACAGGCCAGGCCCCACAGATACCCAGGGGGCCTGCCCCAAGGGACTCCTCCTGCCAGCCCCAGCCTCCACCCAGGCTGGGATGGGCTGGCTTGATGGGCTGACTCAGCAGCTGGCACTGACACCTCCTGGAGACAGCTGGGAGGCTCCTGCTAGGGGAGGGGTGAGGAGGAATAAGGCTGGTCTCCCTGGGAGAGTGGGAACCCCCCTCCCCATGTGAGGGGAGGGAGTCTCTAGGGACTTGGGCAGGAGGCTCTGCAGGTGCACTGGAGCTGTCTAAATGCTGTTGGGGCCTACTTGGGGCTTCCCGTCTCCTTGTCCAGCCACCCTCAGGTCCTGGAGCCACCACAGAGCCACATCTAGACAGAGCAGTGGAGCAGGTCCCAGTGCAGGGGAAGGGAACAGAGGGCACCTGAGCCCCTCAGGCCGGGTCCACTGTTTCCCCTTGAACTGCACGACTTGGAGCTTTGGCACTATATGTCACCTGGCGAGGTATACTGGGGTGAGGGTCAGTAAGGGAAGCCCACAGCACAGAGACCAGGGCCAGGGCATCCCAAAGGCAGCTAGCACAGCCCTGCCCTGCCACCCAGGAGGGGGCCTTCAGGGGTGGGTGCCAGAGCTGCCTGTCCCCAGCCCAGGCATGCCCCTGCCCCGTCACCCACGCTAGGCTTCATCCCCCAGCTCAGGCCATAGTTCCGGCTTCGAGAAGCCCTGAGCACCCAGAAGGAAGGCTGGTGATTTCTTCAGCTCCCAGCCCACCTCCAGCAGAGGCTGCAGCGGATGCCCTGGAGAGAGTCCCTGTCTGCCCTCCACTGCCCGACTCCTGCTGGGACCTCACCTCCCAGTGGGTTGCCCCATTCTGGACTTGGATGCTTAAGGAGCACCCTGCAGTGTGGTGGAAGGAGGACGGGCTCCAAGTCAGAGACCAGAGTTGGAGTCCTGGCTGTGTGATGTCGGGCAGTGGGCTCAATATCTCTGAGCCTCAGTTTCCCCATCTCAAGAACAGCTGGCAAGCCCCAGCCAGGTTGCTATAGGAAGGTTTTAGGGAGCATGGGGACTGTGGAGGGAGGCTGGAGGAGGTCATTGGAGCTGCCCACTGCCTGTCCTGAGATTTCACCCCCCCACACTTTCTCAGGGTGTCAGGCCAGGTCCTGCAGCTCAGTCTGGCTGAGGCAAAAAGCTGCGCCTTGTCCTGGTGACGGCAACTGGTCAGACCTGTTCCTGCTCACCTAGGCGGCCCAGGGGAGGGCCTGGTTCTGGCTTGGAGCTTTGTGGAGGGATTAGCTCTAGGGGAGAAGAACCTCACTTACTCCCGGAACAAGATCCCGGAGGGCTGTGGGAGTGCCAGGGGTGAGCCTGGAGCAGGTGACAACGGAACAAGCTGGAAGTGGGCCTTGCAGTGAGGCAGGGGATGGGCCAGGGGAGAACAGGGCAAGAGGAGGCTTCATTCAGCCTGACTTCGGGGTTCCTGCGCCTCTGTGAGCCGCTCACTTTTTTACCACTCACTTAACTGCCTTTGTTGTTGGGGTGAGGGGCCCTGGAGCCTGGATTTGGGTATGAAACACAAGCAGGAAAGACCTGCCCAAGCTCTTAAAGGAAGGCAAAGTCACCCTTTAACCACTCCCAGAGACGGAAAGGCTAGGGATTGAGTCTCCTGCAGATGGTGGCAGCCTCCTGGGGCTGGCAAGTTGGGGCAGAGACCCATAAGCCCTCCCGTGCATGCCTTCTCACCCCTCCAGGCCCTCTCTACTCCCAGCTGGGGATTTGGGTTTCAGAGCAGCCTGGCACACACGCCCCCACCCCACCAGAATCCCACTCCCAGCTTCCAATGACTATTCATTAGTATTCACGACAATGGGAAAGTCTGGGTGTGCACAGAGAGTTTTTACAGTTAGAAAAGGTTTCAGTCAGTTACCTCATTGGGCCTCACAGCAACCCTGGGAGGCAGATGGCAGTCAGAATGATCCATAAATCACTTGCCCCAGGTCACACAGCTCCTAAGCAGGGGAGCCGGAACCTGGCTCCGGGCCTTGACTATCCACTGTTCATTGCCTGATGTGCTGAGTGATAACCCAGGGCCAACAGGCTGGACAGCAGTCAGTGGCCCTGCACCAGGCCTGGAGGAGGGGGAGAGGGACAGGGACTCGGGCGTAGCATAGTCCTTGGGCACAGGGTTTGGCCGAACTGTTATCACCTGAGTCTGAGTGCTCAAAAGAAATCCACAGGTGCCCTTTTAGTACGTCGAACCCTCCAGGCCACAGCCACCCTGGGCTCCCATTAGCCCAGCCCTGCTCGTCTCAGTCCCCTCCCCATTCAGGCTCCTGCATCTCTGGGGTCTCTATGCTTCCATTGCCACCTCTGCCCCCCAGGCGGTGACAGGGGAGGGCTCCTAGAACACCTGAGGATGGTCCCCTGTCTTATCCACGTCTCCTTGCTGTGCCACACAACGGGATTTTGGTTATCTGCCCCTTCTGGCTCCCTTTTGGCTGGGCCATTTGGCTTGGTGGGGGTGAGAGGGAGTTCGTGTATATGGGAAAAGGCTTTACTGTAAACACACTGGCCAGCTTTCAGTAAACGCCTGCCTCTTCCTTCCCTGCTGCAGAGAACGGGGTGCAAAGGGGCTGGGGGTCCTCAGTCATATGCCCCAGCTGCCCAGCCAGGCTGACAGGGGTGCCACACTCTGCCCCTCTCCAGGAGGGCCAGACTGAGTCACCAATGGGGAGGGATAAGGGCTTGATCAACACAGCACGCGATTCACCTTAAGATTGTCAGAGGGGCAGGCATGTGAGAGCTAACCTAGTCCCACCCCTCATTTGCCAAAAGAGGAAATTGAGGCTTGGACAAAGCAGTGTTTTACCCATGTCACCTAAGCAGTTTGCTGCATTGCTGGGTGTCCATACAAGTCTTTTGAGTCCTGGGCCAGAACCTTCTCAGATTGCTTTGTAAGATCTAAGCACATTTGTATCCTTGCAAGCCCTCCTTGGTGGGGGAGGTGGGGTCAGGCAGAGGACAGGGAAGGCAGAACCGGGGGCATTGTGGAATAGCCATGGACCCTCCCCTGTCCCCACAGCTCGAGCTTCGGCCTCGGCTCTGTACCATGAAGAAGGGCCCCAATGGCTATGGCTTCAACCTGCACAGCGACAAGTCCAAGCCAGGCCAGTTCATCCGGTCAGTGGACCCAGACTCCCCGGCTGAAGCTTCAGGGCTCCGGGCCCAGGACCGCATTGTGGAGGTGATACTTCTCGCCCTCTTCCTATCTGACCACCCCTGCCCCCTGCAGAGCAGCAGCGCCGGGGGCGGCCATCGTTTCATCATTAGCCCACAGGCACAGCCAACCTGGAGCTGCTGGGTGGATGGGTGGATGGGAGGGAAGGTAGGGTGGTAGATGGATAGATGGATGGACGGACAGATGGACTGACTGACTCCTTTCTTACCCTCACTCTCCCCTGGGCTGCTCCTTGCCAAGCAGACACACTTGGCACCTATGATTCACCTATCAATCAGGGAGATGTCCGGGGCCACCTCCAGAGCTTCCCTGCTGCCAGGCACACAGATGGGGGTAGCAGTAACAAAACCCCACTCCTGAGTTAGGCTTTTATTTTTGTAGTTATATATCTATTTTTTAATTTTTTTAAGATGGAGTCTCACTCTGTTGTCCAGGCTGGAGTGCAATGGCGCTATCTCAGCTCACTGCAACCTCTACCACCTGGGTTCAAGTGATTCTCCTGCCTCAGCCTCCTAAATACATGAGATTACAGGTGCCGACCACCACATCCAGCTAATTTTTGCTTTTTTTTTTTTTTTTTTTTTTTTGAGACGAATTCTCGCTCTTGTTGCCCAGGCTGGAGTGCAGTGGTGCAACCTGGGATCACTGCCACCTCCACCTCCCAGGTTCAAGCGATTCTCCTGTCTGAGCCTACCGAGTAGCTGGGATTACAGGCATGCGCCACCACGCCTGGCTAATTTTTTGTATTTTTAGTAGAGACAGGGTTTCTCCATGCTGGTCAGGCCGATCTCAAACTCCCGACCTCAGGTGATCCGCCCGCCTCAGCCTCCCAAAGTGCTGGGCTTACAGGTGAGAAGCACCGTGCCCCGCCCCAAGTTAGGCTTTTAGACTCACTCATTCAGTGCACTGGCACTGTGCTCCTGGGAGAGGAAATGTGAACCAAATGCTCAGGCAGGTCCCAGAATCACAGTCTTAGAACCTTAGAGCTGGAGAACAGCTCTCCCAAGACTTCTCATTTTACACGTGAGAAAACCAACGCCCAGAGAGGGAAGTCGGACAGCAAGTCCTTACCCAGGCTGCCCCACCCAGCCTCCCAGCTCGCTCCCATCCCATCTCTCCCAGCTGTGTTTGTTTAGTCTCGTCCGGATATTTTCGTTGGCTTTTCCCATGTGTCCTGCCTCCCCAGCTGATTGGCAAATGGGAGGACCCCTGGCCTAGTCCAGGACTCTGCAGACATGGTGGGGGTCGGTATCCCCAGGCTGGGAACTGCAAACTGGTTGAGAACCAAGGTGCCCCTCCGGCCCTACCTAGCCCTCCTCCACCTACCTGGCCCAGAACCAAGGCCCACGCCCGTAACGCCTCCCCAACCCCCCGCCGCAGGTGAACGGGGTCTGCATGGAGGGGAAGCAGCATGGGGATGTGGTGTCCGCCATCAGGGCTGGCGGGGACGAGACCAAGCTGCTGGTGGTGGACAGGGAAACCGACGAGTTCTTCAAGAAATGCAAAGTGACTCCATCCCAGGAGCACCTGAATGGTAAGCCGGGTGGGGATGCTGGCTAGAGGCCCCCAAGTCATGGATGTGAGCCAGGGCTAAGACTTTGCTGGGTCCCATGCGAGGGGTGGGCAGCTTCCCGGTATGGGTGCTCCCTCCCTCTCCTTCAGGGGAGACCTAGAGGTGTGGGCTGGGGGAGCGTGGGCCTAGTATAGGGAGTGGCAGTGGGTTTCTGAGAATGGCTTGTGACAGGGTCAGCTGGCACGAGGACAGTCAGAGGGACGACAGAGCTCTGATTCCCGGTCAAAGCTGCAGCCCCAAAGGGAGGCCTGAGCCCCCAATTCTGCCTCCACCAGCAAACTTTCAGAGCAGTGTCGATATGAGGAAAGGGTTAACTCCGGGGAGGCCTCCAGCCTTTGCTTAGTCAGATCAGAGTCCAGTGACAGGGGCCCAGTGCCTCCCCCTCCCTCCTCTCAGGTTGTCTTGGAAACTCAGCCTTGCTGGCTCTAGAGAGTAGTGGGACCCCCTTCAGCCCCTGGGCCCCTGCCCTCCCCATCCCCCATCACCCTGCCAGGCTGTCACCTCCCCCTGCCCAGGCCAGAGCCAAACAGGGCAGGGCTTCTGTACCAGGGCAGGGAGGGGTTAAGCAGTGCTCTGCTCCCTGGTCTGGACTTTCTCCCTGGGAAGATGGCTCCCTGGAGGGGGAAGGGGGTGTTCACTGGGCCATACCGAGGGTGGAACCTCTTGGGACTTTACAGTGGGCAGGGCCTCCTGGAGACTCAAGATTATCTGTGTAGAAGGGCGTTCACACAAAGATCCCAGCTGGAAAAGCCCACTGGGGAGGCCCTGTCCCCTGCCCGCTAATCTAAGGCCTGGAGGCTCCTAGACTAAGAGGGGATGGCCCCTGGAAGTCCCTAGCTGGCTCTGGGCATGGGACATGGGGCACTGCCTTACCCTTGTCTCCCAAGTTTATGGAAACTCAGATAATCCTTCTCCAGTGAAGGGGAGACCAGGGCCCAGAGAAGCCCCAGCCTTGCTCCTAGGGATCTGGTATGAGGAAGACACAGCTGAAATCTGGATTCCACTCAGCTCCTGAGATACTGTCCCCTGCTTCCTCCAGCACCCTTCCCCCACCCCTTCACTCCACAGGTAATTAGCCCCTCAGACATTCCTCCCTCTCTGCCTGTCTCTGGCTGGAGGGGCTGCAGGCTCTGGCCAAAGGACCTGAAGAGGGAGAGGCCTGGGAGCGGTCTCCTCCCCAGTGTCCCTCCAGGATGGCATCCTCACTCTCTCCATAGGGAGGAATGCCCCCCTCCGGCTGCCAGGGTTTCACCCTGACCACTGTGAGCTGATAGGGAGGGGACAGTAAGCGTCCCTGTGTCCCAGCAGCTGTCCTTGCCCCAGAAAGGCTGTGGGTGTCAAAAGGGAGGAGAAGAGAGTCAGGTATCTCTGGCTGTGTCCTGGACCAGGGACAAGGGAAAAGATGACCATGAATTTTAAGCCAAAAGTTCAGAAGAAGCCCACCTAGGCCGACCAGTCCCTGGAGATGGAACAGCCACCCCTGAAGCCATGTGGGACCCCCTACCCTGAGTGAGCCCAGTGAAGGTGACTCCAGACCTGTCTCCCTCTGACCCCTCCAGGTTTCCCACTGGCTAGGGGAGGGGACACCCAGCACACACCCCTTGAGCCTTCTCCTCCCCCTTCATTTCCTGATTGGCTAATAAGAGTTGGGATTTAATTTTCTTTTCACCTTTTTTTTTTTTTGAGACGGAGTCTCACTCTGTTGCCCAGGCTAGAGTGCAATGGTTCCATCTCAGCTCACTGCAGCCTCTGCCTCCTAGGTTCGAGCAATTCTCCTGCCTCAGCCTCCCGAGTAGCTGGGATTACAGGTGTGTGCTACCACGCCCAGCTGGTTTTTTGTATTTTAGTAGAGACTGGCTTCACCATGTTGACCAGGCTGGTCTTGAACTCCTGACCTCAGGTGATCTACGTACCTCAGCCTCCCAAAGTGCTGGGATTACAAGCATGAGCTGCCACACCTGGCCTGGAATCTGTACTTTTAACAAGCTTCCCAGGTAGGAGTTCCCAGGTAGGAATTAGGCAGCCATCCTGGAATTTCGTCACCATTTGGGACAATTCTTTTTTTAAACACCTTGTGACCCATCAGTGCCTCATAAGGTCAATTTAATAGATAGAGACCAGCATTTTTTTTTTTTTTTTTTTTTGCCTGAGTCTTGCTGTGCTGTCCAGGCTGCAATGCAGTGGTGCAATCTCGGCTCACTGCAACCTCCGCCTCCCAGCTTCAAACAGTTCTCCCCCCTCAGCCTCCTAAGTAGCTGGGACTACAGGCGTGTGCCACCACACCTGGCGAATTTTCTTTTTGTATTTGTATTTTTAGTAGAGACGGTTTCACCGTGTTGGCTAGGCTGGTCTCAAAGTCCTGACCTCAAGCGATCCACCTGTCTCGGCCTCCCAAAGTGCTGGGATTACAGGCATGAGCCACTGCGTCTGGCCCAGAATTTTTTTTTTAATAAAATGAAATTCAAAATAACAAAGAGCACTGTAGTAAGGGTATTGTTTTGTGAAACTTTTGTTACACAAAATCTTTGTGTGTGCCGAGTCTTCAAAATGGCAAACATAGGCCAGACATTTGCTCACACCTTTAATCTCAGCACTTTGGGAGGCCAAGGTGGGAAGACTGCTTGAGGCCAGGCATTTGAGACCAGCCTACACAACATAGTAAGGCCCCATCGCTACCAAAATAATTTTTAATAAATAATAAGGCAAATGTACTCATAGTGGGTTGTAGTCAAAAAAATTTGAGATGTTGACCTAAGTGACAAGAAGTAATTACCCAAACCCAACTCCCGCCTCCTCCACGCTCCAGTCCATCCCCATTCTGGACTTACCTCTGCTCTGTCCTTTGCCTAGGTCCCCTGCCTGAGCCCTTCACCAATGGGGAGATACAGAAGGTAAGGGTGGGTCCCCTGTTTCTCTGGATCTCAATCCTGGGGGTGCAGGTGATGGGTCAGAAGGCGCTGTGGTTGGCAGGATAGCCATCTGGCTAAGGCCGAAACCTCAGGATCCCCAGTACCAGGTCCTTCCTCAGCTCCAAGCTATAAAACTGCCAGAACCCTCTTGGCCTCTGCCTGGAGCCAAAGCTGTCGGGAGGGAGAGGGCTGGCTGGGCCCCTCTGCAGCCCGCCATCCTGGGTGACAAGCCCCCGCCTCCAACTCCCCACCATACAGAAGGGGCCATTCTTCCCCCCAAGAACAGAGCTTCAGTGTCTGGCCGCGGGCAGCCGGGCCCCTGCTACTTCCAGTCTGGGTTGGAAGAACAAAGCCCCATCCTCCCCCCTTCCCTGGGTAGAAGGGAAGGGGGTGAGGCTGGGGAAGAGATGGTGGGGCTGGACGCCAGCTGAAGCCATGGAAGAACCCAGGAAGGGGCTGGGTGCCAAGCTGACGCCCCAGCCAAAGCCTGCACTCAGGGACAGGACAACTCAGAGTCAGACCACAGAGCAGGAACTCGCTTCAGGGTCTGCTCAAAGGTTCCCCTTCCCTAGGAGCTCCTGCCAGGGTACTTTGCAAGGGGCAGGGTCCTTGGACCCAGGTCTAAACCTTCTGTCACCTCATCTTCAGATCTAGAACTTTCCATCCACCTTCTTCCTTCAAAGCCCTCCTTTGTTGCTTCAAGGTTAGGGTTTCAGGATTCCTGGGGTCAAATCCAGGGGACCAGTCAGGTGGACCACAGGAGATTCAGGGAACACCACATGGGTTCCCCATGCCAAGCAAAGAGGCCCCCAGTGTCCCCACATTCCAAGAAACCCCTCCCTGGTCATTGGCCCAACAGGCAAGTCAGTACCTAACGGCCATTTTGGAGAGGGCCAGGGAGAGGGAGCAGTTCAGCCAATCCCACGACAATATGCATCCCTCCAGCCAACGAAGGAGAACCAGGCTGCCCTCTGATCCTCGAAGGAATGTGAAAAGGAGCCCCAGCAGGCTCAGGCAGTGGGAATCGGGGGTGGGGCCAGGGTATCAGCACTGCCTCTTCTCAGACTGAGGCCCCTACTTCCCCAGGAGCTCCCTCCCTCCTCAGGACCCCCTCACCCCACCCTCTGGCAACCCACACCCCTCTCCTCTCTGCCAGGAGAACAGTCGTGAAGCACTGGCAGAGGCAGCCTCAGAGAGCCCCAGGCCAGCCCTGGTGAGAACCGCCTCCAGTGACACCAGCGAGGAGGTAGGCCAGCCATGTGGGGGGTGGCAACTGGGTTACAGGAAGCCGATTCCCAGGCCCCACTTGTTCCTGGCACACCATCCTGCCTTTGAAGTCACATGCTGAGCCACATTCTGTTCTTGTGACCTGGCTTCCCTGGGCACTGCCCCAAGGGAGCCACCTCACTGGGGCTGAGGACCAGGGAGCCTAATGAGGGACTGACTCCCAGCTTCCTGCCCTCCCTCTCTCTACAGCTGAATTCCCAAGACAGCCCCCCAAAACAGGATTCCACAGTGCCCTCGTCTACCTCCTCCTCTGACCCCGTCCTGGATTTCAACATCTCCCTGGCCGTGGCCAAAGAGAGGGCCCACCAGAAGCGCAGCAGCAAACGGGCCCCGCAGATGGACTGGAGCAAGAAAAATGAACTCTTCAGCAACCTCTGAGCACCCGATGCCAGCCACCCAGTGACTGGCAGGGCTGAGCCAGCCTTCCACCCCACCCTTTTCCTTCTCCCCAGTTACTCCCCTGAATCGACATACAAATCAGCACCCACATCCCCTTTCTTGACAGATGATTTTTCTAAAGAACTATGTTCTTCCCTTAACTTAGGGAAGGTGAATGTGTTCCTGTCCTCCCCCAATCAGAAAGCAGACTCTGCCTCCCTCCTCCTCACTGAGTGCCTCATCCTACCAGGTGTCCCTTTGCCACCCAGCCTGGGACATCACTGGGACGTACACCAAGCCAGGATCATGGGACCAGGTGAAAGGGCACCTTCCCTTCCACCCCCATGTGATCACCGGGTTCAGGGCTGATTAAAGAACTCTGACTGCAGCAGCTGCAGCTCGCAGTGGACAGGGCGTCCATTATCCTGAGAGCTGTGGCTGACGTATCTTGTTTTCATTTGATTTTTGTTGTTTAAAAAGTGCAGTATTTTTGCAGAGTCTAGAGGAATTTTTGTTTCCTTGATTAACATGATTTTCCTGGTTGTTGCATCCAGGGCATGGCCATGGCCTCGGCCTTAAGCTTTTGTTCCTACTCCCACCCTCAGAGAACTGGGCGGCAGGGGGGAGGGTTTGACTACCCCTGCCCATCCCTGAGCCAGGTACCACCATTGTAAGGAAACACTTTCAGTAATTCCAAACCCTCCAGCCTCCGTGTCTTCCTTGGGAGTTTTGTCCTCTGGCCTTGGACCCCTTATAGGTAGAAAGTGAGAAATGGCAAGCCAGGATGTTCCTAGGGGGGTCTTTGGCTTGGAGGGTGGGGTACACTGAAGGGAGGGTCATCTAGGGCTCCCTGTGACCCCAAGCCTGAGTAGCTTTAGCTAGAAAGCCTAGCTGTGCAGAAGTCCTGTGGGAAGGAGGATGCACCCATCTGGGTGTTCAGCTTGGTGGTCAATGTGCCTGTGTGCCAGGCTGCAAGCTCCAGTGTGGGCTAAAGACCCCCTAATGGTGATATTTACCAGGGAAAGTGGGAACTCAGACCAACATGCTCAGAGGACTGTAACTGTAAAAGTTAATGTAATTGTAGGAGTGAGAAAAGTGAGTCCCAGAATGGATCTGGGCTTGGAATGTGAGGACGTGGCTTTACTCTGCTTACAGCCAGTGAGTGGGGTGGAGGATTCCCAGGGGTAGGCTGGGCTGGTACCAGATGCTCTATCTTATCTGGCCACCGTGAACTGATTGGAAGGCAAGTGTCCAGTGCCAGGGGAAAACAAACCGGTCCACTGAGCCCCGGGACATGCTGTGTGGCTAGGTGGCATGGAAGGGACTTTTCAAGGGCGAAATGCCCTGCCCTCAACAAGAGACCCAGGTCCCTTATACCTCTAGCACCTGAAGCCAGATCTGGAGGTTGGGAAAGTGGCCTCCTAGGGCAGAGGTTCTGGGCAGGTATGCAGAAGGAAGGTGGCCCCAGGCTAGTCTCCACCCAACCCACAGGGACACTTCTCAGAAAACAGGCTCCTGAGCTGAGGGGAATGAGGAGGAAGATCCCCCCTATCTGGCCATCTCCTGCTCCTTGTCAGAGGAACCATACAAAACCTTTATCACAGCAGCACCCTGCTCAGCTGACCTGACCCTACCCCACCCTTGTTTCTACCCTTTGACCCCTGGCGAACCTTTGACTCTTCAAGAACCTGAAGACTGGTGGAAGGGTTGGGTGGCCCCGAGGGAACTCCCATTGCTGAGGTGCCAGCATTACAAACAGAGCCACAGCAAGCAACGTGTTCATTTTGTACGGAGGCATGTTTTCAGCTTCAGTTTTTCACATGCAGTCTGGTGTGAGACTCCAGGATGAAGGGGGTTGGGAGCCCTTGGGCAGGTCACCTTATTTATCTGAGACTGTTTCCCCGCCTCGGAAATGCCCTACAAGCCTCCTCCTTTGGCTGTGCTTTGAAAGCATTCTCAGCCTTCCTTTACAGCCACCCCAGATGATGGCAGGGCATGGAAGACTGTTAGGAGTCACAGTGCCCCCCAGGGTGGGGAGACTGGCCCAGCTCTACTTTGTAAGCCACCGGTCCCAAGTAGCCTGGCCACCCTGAGCCTGTGCCTCCGCTGCCCCCACGTGGCCTGATCAGGTGCAGCTGCTCCCAGAGGCAGAGCGTGAGGAGCAGACCTGGGAATGCCGGAGGGACAGAGCTGACAGCCTGACGCTCTCCTCTTCAGGAGGGCACCCCAGAGGGGCCTCTGCTTCCTCAGCGACCCTTAGCTTCAACAGAGGAGTGTTCTCCAGCCACAAGGAGCTGTATCTAAACTAATGCCTCTAAACTTAAGACTGGCTCCAGGAGGAGGAGGAGGAGGGATGCTAAGTTGAGGGGCCAGGCCACTCACTCTGGACCACCTGTTGTTCCCAGGTGGGTCACACCAGCCTGCTTCTGCAGGACAAGAGGACCGAGCTCCCTTGACCGGACACTGAGGCTGGGCCTCCTGGTAGCTCTTCACACGAACCAAATGGGAAAACAAGGAAAGTTGGCTGTGCCTGGAGCTTTACTCCCTGTCAGGGCAGTACCTCTGGCCTCTAAGGGGAAAGGCCTGTCCACTCCCATCCATGCTCCAGGCCCCCTGCACCTCCAGCTCCCACCTTCATCCTGACATCTCCCGTGGATTCCTGCCCTCCATTCCAGTCTCCCAGAGTCTGGGTTTGGCCAGGAGGGGAGAAGGGGACTGGCCCTGGTGTCTGCTCTGCTTGGCCACACCACCAGCTGGAGGGAGGCCACAGGGTGATTCCAAAGGATGATTCCCAGCCTGGGGCTGGACCAGGAGCACTCTCCCAGTGCTGGGCTCTGGTCTTTGGAGGGTGTGGCCTCAACACCCTGCTCACAAGGTTGGCTGCTCACAGGGCCCAGCCATCAGCAGGGCTCTGCCGACCCATCTCTGTAGGGCTTCTCTTCCACATGGCTGGTCTGCTCCAGAAGCCAATGATGCTCGGACTCACTCATTGTCAGTCTGAGCGTCACCTCCTGGAAAACGCTGCTCACAGCCACCTACATAAGCCAGAGAGAACCAAGCCTGCTAAGAGTTACAGTTCTGTTCTTTAGGGAAAACTGAGGAAATAGGGTAAAAACATTGGGAAAAAAAGTTAATAAATAAATAAATGAGTTACAGTTCTAACACCTCCAGGCCCACCACCCAATCTAGGCCTCACTCTGCCCAACAACATCCTTACCTGCTCAAAGTGAAGTTTCTGGAACATTCGGATGCTTGGTTCATTTCCTTGCCCAATTTTAGCCTCAAACTTGGTCAGATCTAGTCTGGTCACTCCTCACAGAGGAGATGAGAGAGGGGCAAGTAAGGAGGTACCTACCCCCACCCACCCTGTCCCAAGCTGCAGAGGAGGAACCTGTCACCTGCCCCCACCCTCAGACCTGAACAAGGTTCACCCGGGGCCTGGCCACATCCCACATTGTCTGCCCACACTTTCTTACCATAAGACAGCATCATGAGAACAGCCTCAGTGCCAAGGCCCTTACCCCTGCAGCTGGGCTCTAGGAGAAACAACAGGAACAGCACTGATGCCCTGTGCCAGGCTCCAGTGTGTGCGCTTGACAGATACCAACCATCTCGTTTAATTCTCAACAACTGTGAAGTTGCTACTATCATCACCATTCTGCAGATGAGGAAACAGGCACAGAGAAGTGCAACTTGGCCCAGGCCTCACAGCTTGCAACTCAGCAACCTGACCTCAAAGCTGACCCCTTTCACCTCATGGAGACAGCTCACGGGCATAGTCAGTAGCCACTTGGGGGAAACTGAGGACTAAGAAGGAACAGAAACAGGAGGGACTCCTCCTGTAATTTAACAGGATGCTCCAGAGAAGACCATTTATTTTCAGAGGGTGCCCAGCCCACCCCAAGTATGGCACTCACTATCCTTGAACCTACCCCAAACCAAAGGTTAAGTTCACACCTAAGCATAAGGAGAACAGTGATGAGCCCAGGGGTGTACCACCAGGCTGCGCGGGGCTAGGGGCTAGGCTGCCCAGCCAGGCCCTGGGCTCACCAACATGGAGCCTCCCAGTGAACCCCATGAGTGCCCACCCTATGTGGCCTCGGCAGGCTCGGGGTCAGCAGATCTGAGAGCCAGGCAGGGCTAGGTGAAACAAACCTGCAATCATGACCTCGATCTCCCCCAAGGTGGGGTCTTCTAGATCTGTGAGGAAGAGGTTCACATCTCCCACCATGCAGCTCTCTTCGGTGGCGCCTGGCTGGGCCTGCCACTTCTCAGCATCCAGCACAATGAAGGTACACTCTGAGGAACAGGCAACAGGGTTACCGCACACAAACTCCAGAGGAGAGAGGAGAGGAGAGGGTTCCTATCCAAGCCAGAGCAGTGTACAACACAAGCATCTCTAAGTCTACCAGGAGAAGAGGGGGTCCCAGAGCTTGCTTCAGCTCATTACAAAACTCCAAATTTGCCTCATACAGAAAAAGACAGCCTCTCCAACCAGCAACCAAATTCTCAGAGAGCAGGGAACACACAGGAGGACAGTCACCACACTAAGCTGTGGCGAGAGATGTGAGGGACAGGGCCTAAATTTACAGGCAGAGCCCCAAATGTTCTACTTTCTCTAAATCCTTCCAAGCCTGGTGCAACAGGTGGGGAAGAGGACAGAAGGGTCAGCCACAGGGAACCGCTTCAGGGGGCATAAGAATCCCAGAGTTCCAGCACCTTCTAGGCTTTTCACAAAGCTTCTATGGCTGGGGCTGAGAAAGAAAGGGAACCTGGAGACTGCTTGTGGAATCGTCCTCCCAGAACTAGGGCTGGGGGAAACAGGAGGCACTCCTTACTATCTGCATCTTCCCGCCAGCTGCGCTGCATGGCATACTCCTGCTCCAGGCTCAGCGGCTCTGAGGCTGTCAAATGCTGCAGCTCCTCTGATTTCATCCACTCATGGTACCTGCTGGGACAGGGGTGGCCTTAGACATACAGGACTCATTCAAAGGCATACGTCTCACACGTAATAATGTGAGGGTCCAGAACCACACAGGGCTAACATAGGGCTCAAAGAAGACCCAAAGCGTTATGATTGCTCCTGAGGTGGGGGCCACAGGCACAAGACCCAGAAGCAAGCTAGTTTTACACAAGAACAGCAGTAGGAGTCAGTTCTATCTGTCCAACTTCCTATCCTGTCTCGGGTCAGTGCGGAGGAGCAGTCTGAAACCAAACATTCTTCAAATTCCAGAAGGGGAAGTATATGGCAAGCTGACTTCAAGGAAGGCAGCTGGACAGATCCCCACAAAGTTAGGGCACGAAGAACCGTCAAAAGGAAAACTACAAGTAGAGAATACCCATCTACAGCACCACTATCCCAATCTGCCAGACATGTGCCAACACCCCCCACAAGAATCCCATCATGACTCAGTCCTGGCCTTTCGAATGGTAGATATCACAACTCATCAGCTCAGAGTTTAAGGACAAGCTAACATTAAGTCTCCAAGAACTGAACATATTCACTGGCACCAGGGAAACATCACTAATTTACACTTGGGTGAGAAGATAATTTCTTTTTCT